GGGGCCGCTGTGAGCCAATCATCAGCCGGCAGCTGGAAGTTTGCTGGCAGCTGGAAGTTTGCTGGGGCCCCTTCGGCTGTGGCTCTCAACAGGGTGTCACTGAATTGCTTAGGGCCTCACTAAGTTGCTGACGCTGGCTTTGAACCTATGATCTTCCTGCTTGAGCCTCCTGAGCTGCTGGTTACGGGGGGGGGGGGGGGGGCTCCACTGCACCCAACCCAGACTTTTTCTTAAATTGCAAAACTAAAATTCATATATGCCCTATACTGGATTTTTTCTCCTGATGGAAATAAAATCTTACCATTGCTTGTACATGGTATCATAGGTAAACTTTTAGATTCAGAATCTGTCATTGGGATGTAACTGGGCTAATATGAGAGTATGTAATGGCATTTTGGTCAGGGAACTCAGGAATACTGAACTGTTGCTTTGATCTAACTATTCCTTTGACCCAAGAGGTTCCCTAGACATGGGCAGGATAAGCACAGGAGAGAAAAAAGGACAGCACTGGTTTTAGCCTTGTCCAGGTGCTCACTGGTTCATGTAGCATTTCAAGGATGTTCTAAATTTGGGATTAAATTTAGTTGCCTGATCTAATTTCTCAAGTTCTAGGAGTTGGTTTTAGTAGTTTTCTTGCTTAGATTAACTATGGTGTTTCCTTTATTTATAGAGCACCACAATGGTCATTTGAAAGGGATGCTAATCCTGAGACTTAAGCCCAAGTTTAGAGTGCCAGAGTTATCGTTCTAGAGTTGATTGTATTCTCCAGGGAATTCTGGGCTCAGCCTCTCATAAAGGATAATTTTGTGATACTTCCCTTTATTTCTCCTACCCCATCTACAATAAGAGTTCAGAAGACTGCGACGTGTAGATCTCTGGGATTTCATGGGGCTACCCACATAGATTTTCAGGACTCAAGTTTTTAGGCACTTAAAGTTTTTTTGATGCTGTGTGTGGTGGTTCTCACCTGTAATCCCAGCTGCTTGGGAAGCTGAGGCAGGAGGATCGCAAGTTTGGGGCCAATTTAGTGAGCCCATATCTCAAAATTTAAAAAAAGGGTTGGGGATATGGCTCAGTGGTAGAGTACCCATTGGTTTAATTCCCACTACCAAAATTTTTTTGTTTTGTTTTGTGTACTTATAGAGTACTATGTGTTAGACATAGTAACTCTTTCAAATACATTCTATTATTATCCCCATTTTACATACAGTACAAAGAAAGAGATATGGAGAGGTTAAGTAACCTTGACTAATGTCACAAGAAGTGGTAGAAACAGGTTAAAACCCCCACATCACTGGTTCCTGTATCTGTTTGCCTGACCTGGTCCAACAATCTTGAGACCAGGACCTATTGATTTAAAATTTGTCATCTGTTCTTTCCATCTTTTTTTTTTTCTTTTTTTTTTTTGGGGGGGGGGGCACTACCAGCGATTGAACTCAGGGCCACTCAACCACTAAGCCACATCCCCATCCCTATTTTGTATTTTATTTAGAGACAGGGTCTCACTGAGTTGATTAATGAACTCAGGATCCTCCTGTCTCAGCCTCCTGAGCTGCAAGGATTATATGCATGCACCACCATGCCCAGCCACATATTTTAAGGGGAAAGAAATCACCAACTTTATAAACTTACCTGGTCAGTGGTATCTTACAAGATTATAGCAGTGGGATTGCTTGGTAAAATTATTCTCTCTGTAGAAGGAACCTTAGAAATTCTCTTCCTTGGTGGTGTTTTTTTCTTTTTTTACTGTTTGAGGACCTGAGGTTTGTGGCTACATCTTCCACTTTTTACTATGGGGAGGACCCAATTATTTCAGAGGCTAACTTGTAGTACCAACTTTACACTTCTGCTTATGGGAGATAATAGACTTCTAGTGTTCAAGTCACTTTTAGTTAGGTACACAATTATTTGTAGCCAAGCCTTTATCTTCCTGCTCCAATCTGAACTGGTTGCCCTCTAGAATGTTGTTCAGCTGTAATCTTAGGGATTTCCTGCAGTCGTTGTAAGATTTCCTTCATCTCTCTAATTTTGGGCCCCTATTTCCTGAATCTTTTGGCCTTTTAAAATTTTTATTTACTCCTTTAATGCTGAAGGAAATCCTTTTTCGGCTTTCCGAGAAAGGGTGACTGAGAGCTAGATTTTTAATTTGTAGTGTCAGAATATGTCATTGTTTTATAGTTGATTGGAGGGGACAAGCACTCAAACACTTAGCAGTTAGAAAAGAGCCAAGAGTCGAAGTTTGCAGTGTAGGTGCTCCCTTAATCTATTTTTAGTTCTCTGCCTTACTCTAGCTCTCTTTTCTCAGGCTCAGTCTTTCTAAATAGATTTATTTGTTTTTCTTCCCATCACAAACACTTAAGTACTACACTGTATTGGCTGTTACTCTTTTCCCTTAGTGACCAGGAATTCCTTATGTGTTCCTTGTTTGTGAGGCCAATCGTTTTTTAATATTTTCTCTTGGAACAGGGAGCAGAATAATTTTATTTGTTCTTAATACTTAATTAATCTTATGAATTTATTGTACTTTAAAAATTAAACATTCCTTTAAATATTCACATACTATATGGAATTAGCAAAATAAATTTCCCTGAGCATTTAAGTATTGCAAACCTAAGGATTTCTAAACATTTAATTAAAATTGCAAATCCAATTTATAAAATTCTCTTGGTTTTTAAATTATTATTTTATATGTATGTATATAATTTTTTTAGTTGTGAGTGTACACAATACTTATATCTATGTGGTGGCGAGGGTCAAACCCAGGGCCTCGCACATGCTACGTGCTGGGTGAGCGCTCAACCACTAAGCCACAACCCCAGCCCCCAGCCCTAGTCCTTTTTGTTTTGAGTTGGGGTCTCAATTGTTGAGGCTGACCTTGAATTCGTGATCCTCCTGCTTCAGCCCCTGGAGTAGCTGGGATGACCCATGTGCACCAATGCATGACTTTTCTGGATGTTTTTGAAAGTATTCATGCTCTCAAGCTATAACTGTTCTAGATCCATTTGATTTTTTTCCCATCACAAACCATGGTATCCTAGGAAGCCTGTTTCCATTATTTTGCAGGGAGGTTGTTAGGGATTGAACCCAGGGCCTCATGCATACTAGGCAAGCCCTGAGCATCTCCGGTCCTTCATTTTGAGACAAGGTCCAAGTTGCCAGGTAGGCGTCATTGTTGCAATCCTGCTGCCTCTTCCTCCTGAGTCTCTGGAATTACAGGTGTGTAATGTTTCATTTTTTAAAGTATGAGGGTTGAATCCAGGGATACTTTGCCACTGAGCTACATCCCCAGCCCTTTTATATTTTTTGAGACAGGATCTCACTAAATTGCTGAGGCTGGCCTAGAATTTGCAGTGCTACTGAGTCACTGGGATTACAGGTACGCACCACAATTGGCATCTTACCTCCCAACATTGATAGTTCCCAGCATTTAAACAAGTTTGAAAATGATCATACTGAATTTGTTGCTGTAAGAACTAGGAAGATACCTAAATCATAGGCCCCAAACTAAAGGTTTTTGGATGCTCCAAACTCTTGAGCCTAGCAGGGGCTATCTCAGTTAAAGTAGAAATGTTTCATTTCCTCAAGAATTTTCCTGAGTCAGCAGGATCTGACTCTAAGGGGACATTTCCCACGGGTTATTCCTGTTTTATCCAGATTTATTTCCATGACTGGGGCTAAATATTGGATCATTGTTTGCTTCCCCTCTCTCTACATAATTCTGGACATTTTTTTTTTGAAAAGCCCCTCCTTTGTACATACAGATCCTTGGCAGAAAGGCAATTAAATCCTGCTTGTTTTCACAATAAGGCCATTCCATGCTGCTTTTCTCTTCAGGTCAATCTCTTGACATTTTGTGAGTGGTTTCACAGGGAATGTCCATGAACTGTCTTGCAGCAGGTTTCTTCAAGGGATCTAAATAAATACCTGTTTTCTTACGCAAACTGACATCTTTAATAATTTTTAAAAAAATTTTAGTTGTATATAGACATAATACCTTTATTTTTTTTACATGGTGCTGAGGATTGAACCCAGTGCCTCACGTGCGAGGCTGTGCTCTACTATCTTGACTAAATACTGTTGTTGATATCCTGCCCCTCTCTAGAACCTACCCCAAATTTCTGTTATCACAGAAGGTAGAACATGCTTTTCATGGATAGATATTCTTTTTTTAATATATTTTTTTTAGTTTTCGGTGGACACAACATCTTTATTTTTATGTGGTGCTGAGGATCGAACCCAGTACCCTGCACATGCCAGGAAAACACACTACCACTTGAGCCACATCCCCAG